GTCTCCTACTCTGTCATGTCCAGAAAGAAGACTCTGTGACTTGCTTTACTGTTCAAGAAGCCCAAGTCTGTCCTTAAATGCAACTTACATTTCTCTCTGGGCTGAATGTAAACTATTGAACCCTATTTTTAGGGGACTGGGCTATGACTGGCTTTCTGCATTGTTGTGTTGTTATGTGCCACTGAGTCACTTGCAACACATAGCAACTATATACAATAGCCCTGAAACCTACTCTATGCTGTGTCAACCTTATTGTCTGTGACACATCGACCCCCATTCCCTCAGTCACTGTATCAATCCATTTCATGGTGAGTCTTCCTCTCTTGCACTGTCCTTCCACCCTCCCAAGCATGAGGTCCCTTTCCAAGGACTGGTCCCTCCTTGCAACATGCCCAAAGTATGTCAGATGAAGCTTCAGAATCCTTGCCTCCAAGGAGCAGCCTGGTTTCACCCTCTCTCGGACGAGCTTTACTTCACTTCAGTTTGTTCATGTGTTCTTCTCTCTCATCCACTGTTTTCCGCCTCCTCCCTCAAAGCAACCACTCAGCCCAGCCACTGCCTCCTCCACCCATTGCCATTAGGTGTGATTCAGACTGAGATCCTCACCCACCTGGCAGCATTAACCTATCCACTCCTCCCCTGCCTGTCTCCTTGAACAAGAACCAAAAGCATGTGGATCTTCCCTCCTGTGTTTGTGAAATACCCACCCCTCTTTCAGCTGCTGCTTCCACCAGCTGCCCCAACCCTGGGACACCTTTGTCCTTGCTCTTCCTTAAGCTGCAATGGAAGAAAGAGCTTTGACATCAAGACACTTGGTTTGTGACTCAGCTACTAACATGAGACTATTGGCTCCTAGGTGTGGAGGTTTGGTTCTTGAATCCCAGTTTCGCCATTTGCTAATTACTTCTCAGGCTCTCAGTTTCCTCGTGTATAAAATGGAAGTAATTGTGGTACCTACTTCAAGAGCACTGTTGAGAGGACTTCATAATTTTATTAACATAATAATTTAACTTACACTTTTATTAATTTGTAAATGTTCCTGGCATATCTTAAGTACTAAATGTGTTAAATTTTTTTCACTTTTTCTTGTTTAACAAAATAAATATATGTGACTCTAGTTTAAACTCTAGATAAAATTACAGAGGTTGGGTCAGGCCCAGGCAGTGGGAAGTGGAGTGTCAATTATTTGTGCTATTAGAGTTAACTGTCTGACTTTGATCAAATTATTTCACCTTGCTGGGCCTCAATTTCCTCATTTGCAATATGTAAATAATACTTGCGTGGATATATTTGTCAAGATTAAGTGAGACAGTAGCTCTAGAGCACCAGCATAGAATCAAACACATAGTAAGTGCTCAAATCTCCTTCCCCTGAACTATAGAAGCTTCCCTGATTGCCTGTCTTCCTGGTTGTTTCATCTTCCTTGGATCCACGATTAACACCCTTAGCACTAGCAGTCAAGAAATCAAAAGGCATGCTGCAGTGGTAAAGTCTGCTTTAAACGACCTCTCCAAAGCACTCAGGAGCAAGGATATTAATTTAAAGACTAAGGTGCATCTGATGCAGTCTTTCAATCACTTGCAATGCCTCTGAGAGCTGAACAATGAATAATGATGACAGAAGAAGAATCAATGTCTGTGAGTTGGAATGTTGGAGAAGAGTACTGAACACCTCCAAGAGAATGGATATGTCTTTGAGAAAGTACAACCAGAGTTCTCCTTAGAGGCAAAGCTGGCAAAACTTCTCCCATATTTTGGTCATGTTAGGAGGGACCATTCATTGGAATCAGCAGAAGACAGGAACATCCTCAATGAGATGGATTGACACAGTGACAGTAGCAGCAATGGATTCTGGTATATCAGAGATGATAAGGATGGCACAGAATAGGACAGGGTTCAAATGGCGTTGTCTTAAGGTCTCTGTGAGTCGTTCTCCTAAAAAGCGCCTAACAAAGATTCCTGCAGCAGGGAGGTCTGGTAGCCTAGTCCTTAGTTGTGCTGCTAAACCAAAGGCCATGCCTCTCCAGCGGTTAGGATACACAAGTCACTCCTCAAGAGAAAGATGGGCAATCTCTTCTTGTGCCATTTACAACTTCAGAAACCCACTGGAGGGTCAGCTATGAGCTGGTTCCAATACAACTGTAATGACTAACTTTTGACTTTGAATTTAATGTTAACTTTTGACTTTGAATTTCTGTAGCAACACTCAGAGAATCCAGCCTTTCATGCAGATCAGATCCTTTTTGTGTTGGTGTGGTTATCCCCAGCCTTCAAGTCCCTGAAGGCAGAGGTTATGACATCCATTCCCTGGGGCTCTTTCCTGCACCATTCAGGGCTCTATACCCAACCTTAGAAACTATGCAGGCCTGAGCAGATTCACCCTGGCCCTCTCCATCTCCCACAGCATTTCTTCAATCATAAATATTTATTGAGTACCTGCTTTGCATAATGCCCCTCTCTTCTATCCTGTGCCCCCTTCTGCTGGTCCGGGCCAGCCTGGCGGCCTTCTCCTTCAGCATGGCCTGAAGGATCAGGATAGGGTAGGGGGGCTAGAAGTGAGCAGAGAATGAGAGCCCCAGGGGCAGCAGAAATGCACTGAGAAGAAACAAAGAGAACCAGAAATTAGAGACAATCATTATCTGATCCCTTTCATTGTCGTCATTGGAACTGCCTCATAGCTGACCCTGCAGCAAGTTTTCAGACATGCATGGGAGGAGATTGCCCATCTTTCTACCTTGAAGCCACTGGTGGATTCAAACCCTGTGCCTTCCTTTGAGTCGGCAGTGCCACGCCTTATCCACTAGACTACCAGAGTTCTCTAATATCAGATGGACATTTTCATTTACTCCATGTCCCGTGTTTTGGTACTAAAGAGAGGCAGATTTTGAGGATTGGACATAATATGGTATAAGCTCACTCTCTCTGTGACCCTGTGACTGACCTCTTTTTGTCAGTTTCCCCAACTGTTAAACAAGTATAATCACAGTATCTTGGTCACACATTGGTGATGAACTTAAATGAGATGCTTGTAGAGCCCTAGCAGGGTCTGGTGGACAGAGCAGCTTTTCCATAAATAGCCCTTTCCTTCGACATTCACTTACCCACTGCTGTCAAGTTGGTTCCAACTCTTAGCAACCACCCCCACCCAAATGGGTTTCTGAGGCTGTAATTCTTGGCAGGAAGAACTGCCCATCTTTCTCGCGCAGAAGTGCTAGTGGATTTGAACTGCCGGACCTGTGCAGCCTTCTGGCTAGTAGTGCAACACACTACAGATCGTGTCGCTGTGCTCCTTATGAGTGTACCAAAAGCCACCAAATTGTACACTCTAGGTAAGAGTTACAGTATAGGAATACCTCAATAAAAAAGTGTTTTTAAAAGTAAAAAAGGTAATACTTTGTTTCTTCATCTGATGCCTCTTGTGTCTTACTTCTCAGACTATTCAGACTCCAGCAAGGAGAAAAGATACTCTATCTCCCTGGATATTATATGGCAGTTAGTCAATGAAATGGCCCAGCAGTTTTTTCTCTCCAGGATAATATGTCACCATCCTTATTAGTCTGTGACACACAGACACCCTACAATATGCATAGCTCTCCAAAGAGGACATTTGACCAATTTCACTCATCTATTGTGCACATATCCAATATGTGTGTTCAGGATACACGTACACACACACCTATCCCACTCATAGACGCAAACACTCTAACGGATCTTACACATCTTGAGGTCAAAGGCTATAGCCGAGACCATTGCTATTACATTTATGACACTGTGCTGCACTGTGCAGGGTATGTGCTTGTCCTGTCTTATTTTATCTTTCAGTCCTTAGCATCTAGCAGAGCATCCAGCTTAAAAAAAAAAAGAAAAAGATGTTGTTAGCTGCCATCCAGGTGGTCTGATTTGTGGTAACCCCTGTTACAGATTAGAACTGAGTTCCACAGGTTTACTTAGCTGTAATCTTTACAGAAGCAGATCCCCCAGACTTTTCATCCAGGGAGCCACTGGGTGGATTCAAACTGGCAACCTTTTCGTTGACAACCAAGTGTGAACAGCTGTACTACCCAGCAACTTTTCAGCAAAGACACCACAAAGTACTAATCTATTTTCCCCGAATGCCTGATACTGTGTCTGAGTTGACGCAAGTGTTCCCAAGGTGTGGCATCACCAAGTGAATACAAATAAAAGGTAGATATAAACACCCAGCCCTGCCTGGCTCTCTCCTTTGTGGTTACCACCACCCACTTTGGCTTCCAAACCAAAAATTGACAAAGCACAGTGATGAAACCCAAAACTTCAAGACACGCCCAAGCACTTATAAGTCAGCCAGCTGGGCAGGTGAATAATACAGCCCAGCGGAGATCGCCTTCACAAGATTTTAGCAGAGTCTTCAGGGAGTAGCTTGCCAGCAGCTGTTTTCTATTCAGCCCCTTCACTTTTCAGGCTCTGTAATTCCCTCACCCCCAGTTTCGGGCCTGATAACTGTTTTGCAGCTCTAAGCACTGTTACCCTACTTTGTTTTCTCCAAAACAACTCCTCCTCCAAACAGCAACCAACCACTCCTACCGTCCACCAACACAAAATGGGCCATGACCTTACCTTCCCCCTCCTCGCCTCACTGCCCATCAGAGTCTTCTGTGGAAGTGGAGGAGATCTTGTTTTTGCTCACAGCTGGCCCCAGGGGAAGGACAGGGCTGATCTCTACCCTGCACTTTTGAAAATGACCAGTATCTAGACCTCATCAGCAACACCTCCTACTTGCCAGAGATGAAGGGTAGGGGAGCACAGTGTTGGACCAAAAGCAACATCTCTGGAGGAACCCTGGGTGCAATAACAGTCCACTGGGGCGGGGGCTTCCAAAGGGAGGTCTACATGAGGTCAGGAACTTTGGCTCCCACCCTGGGATCTGAAGGTCTGCCTGCCCAATGATAATCTCTGTGCCCTAAACAAGAGAGTAGAGTTAACCTTCAGGGCTCTAAGGAGGAGGTGGAGGGGCCAACTGACCTGTAGGGATTAAGGGTACAGACAGTGACAGCTGGGAAGACGAGCTTGTCAGAGTTGAGGTTGAGGTTGAGGTTGACAGGGTAGCTGAAGTACTCTCCAAACAGCAGGCCGAACTGCCAGTACATCATGCCGAAGGTGCAGAGCCAGAGCACAGCCCAGAAGGCCGTCTTCATGCGGTTGTGCTGGGAGCACACGAGCCGGATGGCGCCATGGATGGTGGTGTTGTTGCAGAAGAACTGGAAGAGTTCTCGGTAGGAGCGGTGGAACTCGATTAGGGCCTCCTCCTCCTCTGAGTGCTGGACAGGGGCTGCAGGTTCAGGGCCCGGCCCCTGCTCCTCACACATGTCCCCCTTCATGAGTCCTTGGGGAAGGGTGGGAAGGGGAAGGGCAGGGGTGAGAGCTGAGCTCTGGGCTCTGTGTCTCACCTCCATCACCACCTTGAACTGAAAGTGAGGCTGCACCGGCCCATGCCCACTTCCCACCCTGAACCTGCTCTCCCCCACCTCTTCCCTCCCTCCAGCTTCCCAGGAGCTAGCTGACCTGCTGGAGTCTGGGCCAGAAGAGCTGGCGCTGGGCTTCCCTGAAGTGGCCTCTTCTCTGCTTCTCCGATAAAGCACTGGTTTGGTTTCGGCCTTAGCACCTTCCTCTCAGTCTCCACAATAGTCGTCTCTGACCTTCTGCTTCAGTCACTTTCGCTGGTTCTCATCCCTCCAGGGTCTCTGGGACTTAGCTCCCCTCCCTCTCTAACTTCTAGTTCTCTTTGGATAGCTTTCCCAGCTCTCTGCTTGCCTTGTGCCTCCTCAGTGTGATCTCTGGTTATGCCTCTCCCTTCAGCTCTTTCCCCCTCTGTGGCCCCAGCCTCTGGTCCCTAGACCTGGTCCTAGGTTGTGTCCTGACTTCTCCACCTAGGGACGCAGGACTCCAGAAGGTCGGGACTGCCTCCTTCCCCACACTCCCAGGTTGTGACTGGATTGGGGCTGGTTCCTTTCCAGTTGAATCTGGCAGCTGAGCCTCTCCTCCCCCTCACCTGACAGGTGCAGTGGCCTGGCCTGGGAGGCCTACCTGCCCGCCCTGCCGACCAGGCATGGAAGTGACAGCAGCCTCATTAGCATCTCAATTAAAGGTGAGCAGGGCAGGGGGAGGGGCTGAGGAGGCGTCCCAGCAGGCAGTTCTCCAAAAGGAGGAGGGCCCAGAGGGTTGATGAGGTTGGGAGCACTACCCAGGAGAGGCAGAGGATCTTGAAAGACTTGGGGGGGGGGGTGTCAATGGGAAGCTGACCAGAAAGTTGGCTGAGAGACAGAATGGCAAGTGGCAGTCAGAGATCCTGAGCATGGAGAGAGATCCTGAAACATAAAACCAGGAGGGTAAGATAGGGAAAAGGATGATGCAGGATGAATGAGAGGAAGTTGGGAAACCAGGAAAACAGGGAAGGCAGAAACAGGGAGGCAGATAAAGGTGAAGGGGTAAGCTTGAGAGAGGGGTGGAGGAGGGGCACAGAAAGGACAGAGAGAGGAGGGTGGGAGGAAGAAGCCCTGGGGCTTCCAGGGTCCCCCACCATGGAAACTGTCCAAGGGCTCTTCAGGGTCAGCCACACCTCCGGTCTGGGACAGGAAGGAGAAGGGGGTTCTGCAAAGTGCCCCCCCTGCTCTAGAGAGTAGGAACACCTCCCTGGCTCCACCCAGCGCTGTGGCTCAGGGGGAGCACCCTTCTGCCTCTTCCTCCAAGTCCATCCTCTTCCTTCCTGACTCCTGGAAACACCCCCTCCTTGTCCAGGCCAAGGAGGGGCCCAGGTGAAGCTGGGGGCTGGGCGGGATCCCCTGGGACATTCTGTTCTTTTTTACACCACTGGTTGCCAGGCCAGGAATGTGTAATGTCCCCTGTTGTGGTCACGGGGTTGCAGGAATGTGGGCACCAAGAGGTAGCTCAGAGGCCAGGCAGGGCACTGTGGCCACAGACTGGAGGGCAGGGCGAGGCAGCCCCCACCCCCCTCCCTGCAGGCACTAGCAGGCAGCAAGGATATGGCCAGCACGAGTGGCAGCGGGAAAGACAGGCAGTAGTCATGGCTGAAGTAAGTCTCCACCAGTCCTGGAAAGAAGAAAAGCTAACTGGTAGGTATGTGTAGGGTAGCGAGTGAGTGCTTTAACCTCCATGCCACCAGGACTTCTGCATTGTGGCCAAGCCCTGCATATGATGACAGGGCTCTACCACGTGTGGACACTGCCTCAGAGCAGCAGGCCTGGGCGTCCCTAAGCAGACATGCAGAAACAGGCCCACCAACAGGGATACAGACTCAAGGGAGAAGGTAGGCTGCCAAACCTGCAAATGCACAGCTGCAGTACGATAAGGATCCTGGTGGCCAAGATAAGAGCAAGGTGCTACATGATCGCGGGGGAGGGGAGGAAGGGCTCACTGCAGGGAAACCCAGGAAGACTTCCTGGGAAGGTGGCAATTCACCTGACTCTTGAACAGGAAGAGGTCAAGAAGAGGCAAGAGGGTATTCCAGGCTTCTTGTTGTTGTTGTTGTTGTTATGTGCCATCGAGTCGCTTGCGACTCATAGCGACCCTATGTACAACAGCACTAAACTCTGCCCTGTCCTGTGCCAAACACACTGTCTCTGACACTCCCATCCCAATTACTCCAGTCACTGAATCAATCCACCTCATAGAGGGCCTTCCCCTCCTGCGCTGTCCCTCCACCCTCCCAAGCATGATGTCCATCTCCAAAGACCAGTCTCTCCTTACAACATGTCCAAAGTATGTTAGACGGAGCCTCAGAATCCTTCCTCCAAGGAGCCACCCGGTTTAACCCTTTCCAGGATGAATCTGTTTGTTTTCCTAGCAGTCCATGGTATTTTCAATACTCTTCTCCAGCACCACAGCTCAAAGGCATCAATTCTCCTTCTATTCTCTTTGGTCATTGTCCAACTCTCTGATGCATAACAAGTGATTGCAAAGACCATGACCTGTATCAGACGCACCTTAGTCTCCAGAGAGACACGATTGCTCTTCAGTACTTTGGAGAGGTCCCAAACAGCAGACTTTCCCATGGCAATACACCTTTTAATTTCCTGGCTATTCCAGACTTGTAGCTTCTTTAAAGTGAGATCTGCTGCTAACCATAATTTCACACCTGATCCAGTGTTTGCCTTGATACCTGCTTATTACAGTGCCTCTGCAGAAGAAAGGTCTGGCTTTCCCCTCCACTTTCCAAATAAATGGACCCTGAGCAAGGATAAGCTGATTTTACTGAGGTCACCAAACAAAAGAGCAGCAGGAGTTGAAAGCAGGATCCAGAATTCCTCCTTTCTGTCAGGGCTGTCTACTTTGTGCTTTGCCATTCCTCCAGACTCATTGCTGAGTCAGGGCACCTATTTTGTGTGCCAGGAAAGGGTCCATGGCAATTTTCAATAAAGATACAGGTAAGCTGGAATCCGGCGCTTCAGTTGTTTGAGAACTGTTCGCCTCTTGCTTTACCTCTGGTTTCTCCTACATTCTTGGTGTTCTGTCTCGTTATTAATACTTATAAAAATACTATACCCTTGATCTGCAACAGTTCACACATGCCACAGGTAATCTGTGAATTCTTCAGCTCTCGGGCTCTGTGGAAAACTCTCTACACTGCCCTCGTATCCTTTACAGAACCCAGAGATCTTAGAAGCTTCCAGTTTCCTTTAAACTATCTGGAGATAGGGTACGCATTTCCTATGTTGGATCATAAGGGCTCTGAGAAATGCCTCCCTGACTTTTCTGTTTGCTCACTGGTGTTTGAAACCCAACCACTGGCTTAAGGCAACATAGCAAATAGTTTTCATCTCAAGTACTTTGCGAATAGGTTTGTAAGGCCCTGTGCAGGCTCTGCTGGGGAGTGTGTGGTGACCTGGCACTGCCGTCACAGGTATGAGAGTGGCAGCTCGGTTTACACACCTAGCATTCTAGATCTGGAATGGGCCTGAGCAAGCTGGATGCTATGAGAAAAACAGGAGTCAGAGACCTGCCCTTTTGTCACAGCTCCATTTTAAATACGATCTTTTAAAGCTCAGAAACAATGCAGAGGTATAAAAAGCTCCCCCCGCCCCATCCTTTCTCACTCTTCTGCCCAAGGAATATCAATGTGATTTGTGTTCCCATCTATATGGTTGTATCTGCCTTTATATGTTTACACGTATTTCCCTCTAAACTCTCTTTATTAATTTGCTGAGAATATACACAGCAAAACACACACCAATTCAACAGCTTCTACATGTACAACTTCGTGACACTGATTACATCCTTTGAGCTGTGCAACCATTCTCACACTTCTTTTCTGAGCTATTCCTCCTTCATTAACAAAAACTCGCTGCCCTCATGGTGATTAATGTTATAAGACACAAAGTTTGAGAATGATTGTATGAAATAGAATGTCAATGAAGCAAAGTGTCACACACACAACTATGTACATGAATGAAACACAATGTATATAAATAATTGTATGCATACCAATAAAAAGGAAAACCTTGCTGCCACTGTTGTCAGTGTGGTCCCACATAGGAAGTTCTTAGCAGAGCTTGATGCTCAACACAGACCTTTCATTAAATTATCATTCAGCTTTAAGATGACTATTCAAGGTTTAAGATGATTAAAATAGATGACTATTTTTGGTATAAGGGGTAAAGATTATCTCAGGGCAAGAGTAACGTGTAATTTTAAATAATACTTTACTGTGTTTTCCGTGAAGGTTTGCACCGCAGTCTAGATTTCCTTTCCGCCGTTTATGCATGAGCTGTGCACCAACAGTGGTTACTTCTTCACAGCGTGTGAACACTCTCATTCTTTCCATTCAGGTCGCTCCATTTCCATTAATCTAGTTTTGCTGCCCCTTTACAGTCTGATCTATGCTTTAAAGTAATGGCTGACAGTTTGGTATCTTCAAGGTGCTATGTTTTTGAAGGAGCACAGTACTTAACTGGTGACCATTCATTGGGTTTTTTAGTTAATTTGTTACTCAGCTACAAGGTGACCAGAGGTGACGATGGGGGTTCATTTTGGTTCAAGATTGGAAGATTATCTCAAAACAATCATTTCAGGGAATCTTCAAATCTCAACCAGCCTAGTAGATGTATTTATTGGGGGCAGGGGGTTGTTTTGTTGGTTTTTGTTTATTTGGGAATATGAGAGTCTATTGCACATTTATTTTCCCCCATTCTATGAGACTCCATCTAGTGTGGCCCTGGTTAGAATAGTCAGTGGTGATATAGACACCATTTCGTTCTTGTGGCTTCAGGGCAGACGACACTGTGGATCATGTTGACTATTTGTCCTGTAGACTAGTTTTATCTTTTGAGTCTCTGGTTTCCTTGTCTTTTGTTCGAACAATTAGAGATCATTAGTTGTACCTTGAATTACATGTATTGTCAAAATACCCAATAGATAATACACTCCAAGAAGT